AAATGTGACAAAGTGAATGTCTCTAGCCCAGACCTTTTTCATTCGTGTAACTTTTAGCTAACCGAAGAATTAAATGACTTATGTATATTCAGTGTGTATCAGTTCTTGCTTGAAGTAGGAACTCAATGTTTTATGAATGGTCTATTAGCATTTGATTGCGTTAACCAAATCACGTCAACAAAAGAATGAAATAGTAGCTTACTATGGGCAGGCACTGTGCCAAGCAACTAGGAAATGCAAACACCGAACCGCAGCCTCAATTTTCTATGAGTTGCAATCCAGCTCAGGCAAGATCTAAACACATTAAAAGTTAAATCATTATAAATCAGCTACACAAAAATACAGTAAGACAAGAACTGACAGCAAGGTTGCAAGCTGCCTACTGATCTCCGAAAGAATGGAATGGAGAACAAATAGAAACAGAGAGAGAATTAGTCCGGAATGATCAAGGGGAGATATGGAAGGAAGGACTGAGAAGAAGACAAGGGTATTGAAGGCAGAGAGGTGAGAATGTCAAAGTCATGATCAGGAAAACATGAGAATGGAAAGTAGCTTACCTATGATTACATAATTACTCAGTGAGGTGTGAGTGGCAAAGCTGTGACAGAGAAATAGGAATATTAAAATAATTTTTTAAATTGTCCAACACAAGGTACTTGGGAAAGTGATAGTGAAATTTCTGTGAATTAGGTAAGTGGGAGGTTTACCCAACATTTTTTTTCTCTAGAGCTCTGTCCAAAAGACCTTCTTACCACATCAGAAATGTTCTTGATGTGCACTGTCTACTATCCACAAGTAGTTTTTTATCAATAAGTAGTTTTTGAGCACTTGAAATGTGGCTAAGGTGACTAAGTAACTGAAATTTTCTTTTAATTTTAATTATGTTTTGTTGTTGTTATTTTTAACTTTATTGAGGAACAGTGCGTTTTTCCCACGACCCATCAGCTCCAAGTCAAGTTGTTGTCCTTCAATCTTAGTTGTGGAGGGTGTAGCTCAGCTCCAAGTCCAGTTGCTGTTTTCAATCTAGTTGTGGAAGGTGCAGCTCACTGGCCTATGTAGGAATCGAACTGGCAACCCTGTTGCTCAGAGCTAGCTCTCTAACCAACTGAGCCACCTGGCCGCCCCCTGAACTTTTAAAACTTTTAATTACCTTAATTATACTTAATTTCAATTAATTTACCTAATTTTAATTTAAATACCACAATTACCTGATAGTTGAACGAAACTATTTTAAGCAGTACCTATGAGTTTAGTTTTATGATATACATATTTAAAAGATGTCTTCAAATGAAATAAAAAGGAATAGGTTTACTGGGGGGAAAAAATCAGGAGTTAAACATTATTCCCAAACTCAAACAAAGGCATGCAAACTCAAGAAAATGAAGACTACCATTTTTTGAATGCCTACCACTGGGCAAGCTAGGTGCTTGCATAATTATTAGTAGCCAGTCGCCTTACAGATGGGAAAATGGAGACTCTGCACCATATTTATACAGAGCAATATGAAAGTTACTAATTTATCACCAATAAATATCATTGGTAAAATCTACTAAACATTTGCAAATAAAGCATAACATTTTTACTTAATTAAATATAATGTTTGAAGACTAATATTCAAACCAGTAAATCTCATTTCAATTACATCATGTTAAGAAAATTTGAAAAATAATGAGAATTTGCTATTTTCTTTTTGCATTTCAAAAATAAGTCACAATATCATCTCTTGTTTTTTTTGTTTTATAACTTATTATGGATAAAGTATCATTTTATTTATTTATTTATTTATTTATTTATTTATTTATTTATTTATAATTGGGGAATTGGAGGAAGGGGAACAGACAAGTTGCTGTCCTTTTGTTGTTCAGTCTAGTTGTGGAGGATGTTGCTTCGCTGGCCCAAGTTGGCACCATCATTGCGCTCTTCCCTTGCTAGGCAGATGAGTCGCTGGCTTCTGGACGGCCGCTCACTGTGGCTGCTGGCCGCTCATGCTGGCTGCTGGCTACACACGGTAGCCCATGGCAACCCACTGAAGCAGGGGCTGCAGTGTACGCCGTCGCGGGAGACTCAGGGCAGCCCAGCTCCAGGATGAGCTGTTGTTCAACATGTTAGCTGTAGAGGGCAGTGTCACTGGCCCTCATATGTGGGATCCGAACCGGGGTCCTCTGGCATCCCAAGCTACCTCTTAACGTTCCATTCGCCCGACCCTCATGTCTTGTTTTTTAAAAATTTCTAGGAAAATCTGAATTTCATATGAAATAAATGTGTTCATCATTCTAATAATTGTGCATTATACACTGCATGTTTTAAAGCCTTGAAAAAATTTAATCTGCAAATGTCCAGCACATCTTTTCTCTAATATAAGACAAATTAATAATCATTCTTTCAAACCTCAGAATTTTCAGCTGCGTTAGTTACATGTGATTTGTGTTCAATTATGATTTTATATTATTTGAAACATGACAACTCTGTCATTATTGAGTGATGAAATGCTCTATAATTGATTGTGGTGATGGTTGCACAACTCTGTGAACATACTAAAAAACATTTAATTGCACACTGTAAGTGGATGAATTTATGATATCTGAATTATACCTCAATAAAATTGTATTTAAAATAAATTGATGTCATATGAAGAAAAATATAGTTACTGTATTTTAGTAATGTATAAGTAAATTTCTTATTTTCCTTGAATAGGTGGTATTTCACATGATTGAGTGATAAAGATATTTTGCTTTCCTAGCATTTCCCAATATTTCTGTTCCCGGTTTTGTTTTATGCAATCTTTAATCCTTTCTTTAAAGAAAAAAAAAAGTAACTGCTCTGAATATCAGCCTACATTTTTCAGGATACCAACCAATAATCTCGTTTTACAAAGAGTAGAAAATAACCCAGTCACTGCAGTTTAACAAAATTATACATTTTCCACTAGATGGCACTGGTGTGCAAATAGTGTTGCTAGAATCTTTGCACTTCCTCACACATCAATAAAATTGTTACATTACCACATTGTTTTCATTCATCTTGATTGGTCTGGATCAGATAAAGAGAAGAGGAAAGTTAAGATAAATTACTTGCTTGACTTGCTAAGCTTCCGGGTAAACAGAGCCCACATTTTACAAATGTGGAATGTAATGCAAGGAGAAATTTTCACAATCTTATGCTATATCCAGGGTAAGAACCCAAAATCCCTGACTCTTAGTTGCCATCACACTATATACAATATCAAGAGTTGGGGAGTGGATACCATAGTCAAAGAGACAAAAAAAAAATTAATCTCTATTGGGCCATGGTACAGAGATTATCTCATTTGATCTCTAAACTATTAGTTTTATGTATATTATCTCATGTAATCCTAACTATACAAGCCCAAACTATTAACTTCATGAGCGAAGCCCAGTGATCATTTTGTTTACTACTATAGAACTTCAGTAAAGTGCAGAGCCCAACACATAGTAGACAAGTGAAAAACATTTGTTGCTTAAGTGAATGGATGACTTAATTAACTAAGTTTGACAACTACCCCATTTAGTAGGTAATATTATTTCTACTTTAAGGTTGAGGAAACTGAAGTTGGAAATCTAAAGTAAGTTGTCCAAGCTCACCCAATTCAGTGGCAGAACTGTTTAACACAATCTGACATCATTTCACATTATACATTTACAAGTAAGATTTCCATAATAGATGAAAATCTAAGGGCAGAGGATCATGTCCTTCCTGTTCCCCATTGCATGTATAGCGCCTTGCACAGAGCCTGGCACATAATTGGTACACAATAAATAGTATTTCTCTTTTTAAGTTCACAGCAACCCAGGTCTTAGAAGCCTGGACTTGAACACACTCAAAGAGCTTCACTCCTGGACCACTTTCTGGTTTACTCCTTTCACTTCCTTCCAATGCCACTTCTAAATCCAGGCCTTCTGAATTTCTGCTAGTTTTCTGCTGACCTCTACTCAAAGCTTATTAACAAGAAGCCTTAGAAGTCAGTATACATTTCACATTATTTTTAAAAAGATTTTATTGGAGAACTGGGGGAGGGAACAGCGTTGGAGAATCAGGGAAGGGAAACAGATAAGTTGCTGTCCTTTTGTTCTTCAGTTTAGTTGTGGAGGATGTCGCTTCACTGGCCCATTTGGTATTGTGATCATTGCGCTCTTACTGGTTGAGGCAGATCGGTCGACAGCCATTGGACAGCCGCTCACAGCGGCTCATGGTAGATCACGCTGGCTGCCAGCCACTCACAGTAGCTCACGGCAACCCACTGCAGCCCCACTGCAGTCTATGCCGTCGCTGGTGACTCATGGCAGCCCAGCTCCAGGTAGAGCTGTTGTTCACCATCTTAGCTGTAGAGCTGTTGTTCATCATCTTAGCTGTAGAGGGCGCAGCATCTCTGGTCCATGTGGGATCCAAACTGGCGGCCCTGCTGCTCAGAACTCGTGCTACCAAGCCAACTTTTAACCAGGGAGCCACTCTGTCGGTCCCTGCATTTCACATTTTGCTTGCACCTTACTATGTCTCCTAGTTTCACAGCTGAGCAGTCCGCTCTTTCTGCCCTCAAACCCCAGTGGTGCGGGTGGGAGTAAAGTAGATCCGCAGATGGGGTTGGTTCTGGTTTTGGCTCTGTTGCTTTTATCTCTATTGCCATTTGGCTATTGCACTGGCCTCAAATTCCCCATCTCCATTTTCTCAACAAATGAGGCTGGTTTTGGATGAGCTCAAAGGTTCCTTTCAGCTTTCAGACTTTTCTGTTTTAATTGTGTCCTAGGGTAGTGGTCCTCTATTGAGCTTAAGACCAAGATGGCAAGTTTGGGGAAGAATTCTTGGCCTCTTAGGGGGTGCATGCGTGCGTGCGTGTGTTAAGGGCCTGGGAGATAAAGCCAGAGCTGGAAAGGCCTGTGCACCAGACTGGGCTGGCCTGGCCAGAGGGAACTAGCATTGCACGCCGGCCTGGGCTCCGCAGGATTGAAGGCAATGACTGGAAAAGGCTCCCCCGGGTCGCCAGGGGGCGCTGCGGGCAGTTCCCCGGAAACTGGCACCCGGTGCAGCTGGACAACGCCAGATTCTTACGTCCTCCGGAAACGGAGCGCCGGACTCACCACTGCTGGGTTTGCGACAGCGGCGGTGGCGGGCACGGCGGAAGCGAAGAGGATCGAAGGGGACCCGGGCCTCGCTCCAGCGCGGGGTCGGGGCACCATGGACGAAGCAGGTAGCTGTGCGAGCGGCGGAGGCTTCCGCCTGGGCGTGGACAGCCTGGACGAGCCTCCCAACAGCCGCATCTTCCTGGTGATCAGCAAGTACACGCCGGAGTCGGTACTGAGGGAGCGCTTCTCCCCCTTCGGCGAGATCCAGGATATCTGGGTGGTGCGGGACAAGCACACGAAGGAGTCCAAAGGCATCGCCTTCGTCAAGTTCGCTCGCAGCTCGCAGGCCTGTAGGGCTATGGAGGAGATGCACGGCCGGTGCCTCGGCCCCAACGACACCAAGCCTATCAAGGTGCGGGTGCCCGAATCGGGGTACCCGCGGGGGACGGTGTCCGAAAAGGGGAGGGGGGGCACGGGAGCGGTTCACTCGGGCTTCCCTTCATCCGCAGCTGTGTCGGGGTCGGGCAGCACCTGCTCCCGGAGCGGACTAGGCAGCACCTGGCATCTAGGCAGCACCTGGCATTCTGGGGGCGAGGGGAGGGGAGGCTGGCGTTGGGGAGAGTGTTTCTCAGGACCCGCCCGCGAGCCTACACCGGGGTACGGGGTTTGCGGGTGGGATGCGGAAAAAATACCAGGCCAGGCATCCGCTGCGACTCGTGCTGCAGAGCTGCAGTGGCTCGCCCCACCCGCCGCCTCTAAGCCACAACTCTGGATGCCTGGCCCAACTCCGGCCCTGGCCTAATTTGAGGACTTCTGTGACCGTCCTCTCGCAGACCCCCCCCCCC